CTGGCTGCAGATGCCGTCCGATCCGTCCACCCAGACTCGGCTGGCCTCTCGGTTCCCCCGGGCTGTAGGACCGCCCTAATGGTGGGCAGAACTCCTCCCAGAGCGATGGCCACGCCTCCCAGCAGTCTGCCGAGCTCCTCGTCGCTGCGGACAGCCAACTGTAGGTGCTGAGGGACGATCCTGTCCTTCCGCTGTCATGAGCCGTGTTTCCTGCTAGTTCCAGGATCTCAGTGGTCAGGCACTCGAGCACAACTGGCAGGTAGATGAGAATGCGTCCAAAGAACATCCTTTCAACTCATTTGAGATTTGGGGCTGTAATTGAGATATCATTTGAGATTTTAAGATGTTAATCAGCTGCTGTCTGTTGTAGAAAACTGCCTCGTTTAATGTCCAAAACTAAAAAGTTTCAGTAAAAATCCTTCCAGCTGCATAGCATCCGATACCAGAGGAAACAATCATCCAAAAAAATGTGATTTACATGCAGAAAAAGAAGAATTAAAGTTTCCAAAAGCAAAATCTCAGAATGAAAGTAACAGAGCTGCTCCAACATGCAGCCACCTTGAGCGGCGCAATTCTAGAACTTATGGGCCAAAGCGATATATTTATGGATTTTTTCCCCATATTTATAAACCAATTTTTGGCTGAGATATGACCGTTTTCATTCATTCTGACTGAAAAAAAAATGAACAGTACCATTTTCAGCCAGTAAATGACCGCAGAGTAGTAGTAGCAGTATGGCATGCTGCTGTATTATGCAATAGGTAAACATGGCTATAATGACAAATTCAAAACAGTTCAATACAAAAACAACTGGACTTTATTTATTGTACTTTACTTTATACCTTATTGTTTTTTTCTTGAACTTTTTTGAATTTACCATATCCTGGATGACTGAGACTCTTCACCAGCTATTAATGACACAATCAGCTTGCCATATTCCCCTACCTTTGTTCTGCTCGCTGCTTGGAGCAAGTCAAACCAGCTGCACCGCTCCAGCAAAATGCAGCTAATTTGACCATTAAAGTAATTGAAGTAAAAGTTTACCTGAGACACACCTTTGCTATAATTTTGAGCAAATAAAATTTTTTGTAAGTGCTTTTCTTGTTAGATTTTGAAGAAACGGACAGCGTTCCTCCAGCAGTCACATGCCGAAGTGTCCCTGGGCAAGACACTGAACCCCTCGTTGCCTCTGATGTGTGTCCCATTGGTGTATGAATGTGATAAAGCTCTGATTAGTTTCTTTAGAATGATTTGTTCAATTAGCTTTGTAGAGATCTAGTAGAGTGCTGTATGAATGGGTAAATGAGGCACAGATTTTGTTGTAAAGCACTTTTAATATCTCAATAAGATAGAAAGGCGCTATATAAGTACAGTCCATTTACAGTCCATTTTTTTCCTCCCTTTGCATGCTCCCTGAGCACAGAGGCAGCGAATACAGTTGATTTGACCGTTAAAGTCCTTTTGTTAAGCAAATGTTAGACTGAGATACATCTTTGCTATAATTTTGAGCAAACAAACAATTGTTTTAAGTGCATTTCTTGTTAAATTTCGAATAAACGAGTAGCGTTCATCCTTCCTTTTTTCTTTCCTCAGCGTGCTCCTAGAGCACCAAGGCAGGGAATACAGTTGATTTGACTGTTAGTCCTTTTCAGAAGCAAATGAGACACACCTTTACTATGATTTCGAGGAAACAATAATTGTTTTTAAGTGTTAATCTTGTTAAATTCTAGTTAAAGTCCTCCTGTGCACGCCTCCACAGCTGCCAGTTGGCAGCCCATTGATTTTTGGCACAACACCGGCCCACATTACTTGGTTCGGACCACATTTCCGGGTTGTCAGCAGGATGTGAACCAAATGCGACACGTCAGCAGTGACGCATAATTGATGCGACGTATACAGAGAAGCAACATATTGATGTATTTTTCCACTTTTTCATGCATATTTGGACTGATGCGACTTATAGGGGGGTGCAACCGGTATGGCGAAAAATACGGTACCCCTACTTATCGTCTGATCTTCATCATCATGGCTCCTCTCCTTGTTCCCTAGGTTCTCCCCATTGTACATAGATGTACTTTAATTCACTGTAAATAAATCACTGTAATTTAGGAGTCAGAGTCTGTTCTCTCAGTCCATATTCTCTGGATATTCCATTAAACCTTACAATACTGATCTTGGAGGTCCAGAAATTATTGATTTGCACTGAGCACTAATTTGTTTAAAACATGTGGCACTGGAAAAACAAGACTTTTTAAACAAAAGACAATTTTTACCTTTTTTTTAATAAAAAAAGTGTCCTCTTTCCATAAATAAATAAATATGTGTGGTCCATAATCCCTATTACTTCCAATATTTGCAAAACTGTAGTACCAAAGTGTTTGTTATTTATGTAGTCTTCTGCAGTTTTTCAGGAAAATTATTTGAACTGTGCCATCCATTTGGCTTAAAGGAAATACAGTGTCTGCTCAGTTACATTGTTAATATAAACTGTGGGTTTTAAGTCAGACTGAAAATATGAGCCCAGTGAGCAACTAGGATGCCAGAGATTTAATATGAAGTTAATAAATTTAAAGATGCTGGAATGTACAGAAAGCACTCAAAATTCATTTGGGATTGTATGAAAGTCAGGAAAGTATTCAGTGAATGAACTAATGCTCTCTAGTGCTCTCATTTACAAGATTAAGGGTTTTTAACTATTTCAAAGATAAATGTCAGTGACTCTCTGAGGCACAAATCCTTAAAAAACAGGAATTCTTTTAATTTCCGTTCCAGCTCACACATCGCCGGTGTCAGTCGTGACTTTCTCAAATGTATAAATGATTAACATCTTTAAAACTTGTTGCTTGATTCATTTTAATAAAAAATACAGCGGAACTTCATACAACTTCCCTCATAAACAGCACAATTTACAGGGAAAAAATAATGAATTCTGGAGACTGTACAACCTGATATGATCAGTATTGCAGGTGGCTAAAGGCAGATTTACAAATAGAACAAAAACAACACCCTAACTTAAAACAAATAAAATAAAAATTGTGATAAAGTCTTGGAGTGTTATAAATCTTTCACTAAACACTATATTCTCTTCTTTAAAACAGATATGACAACTTCATTACATCACAGTAGTTAAAAAAGTGAAATATTAGCACTAAGTAAATGTTGGAAAATCAACAAATGAAAAAAAAAAGTACAAAACTAGTTCCAAGGCATACGAAGAGGATTAGAACCATGGTGCATTATTCGTTTTTTTTTTTCCCCCTTAATTCTGAGGGACAAAATGTCAGAATTCTGAGATTAACGTCAGAATTTCAGGAAAAAGTCAGAATTTCGAGGAAGTCAAAATTCTGAGATTCAATTAAGAATTCTGAGAAAAAAGGCAGAATTCTTAGATTAAAGTCAGAATTGATTAAAGTCATAATTCTGAGAGAAAAAAATCAGAATTCTAAGATTAAATTCAGAATTCTGAGATTAACGTCAGAATTCTTTAGTTAGTAACTAAATATCATTTAGTAATGTAACATAACATAATTTAGACTAGAACAGAACAGAATTCCCCTTCAGAATTTTGACTTTCTCAGGATTCTTATTTTAATCTCAGAATTCTGACTTTTTCTGAAATCTGACATTTTGTTTTTCAGAATTCTGACAGTCTTTCTCAGAATTAAGGGGGGGGGGGGGAATTGCACCGTGGCCCTAATCCTCTTCCATAAAGGCGTCACAAGTTGCAGAAACGCATGATGTTTTTGAGCTTTAGTTTTACAAACACTTAAGTAGCAGCTAAATATATATTAGCATAAAACCTTGAAGCAAGAAGAAAACCATTCATATTGAAAATAAAGACATGGAAATTAATTTATTTTCTCTCAGAAGCAGGAAGACTTTCATAAAATTAGAAGCTCAGAGCTATCAGAACCAGTTGACTCCTCTTGTTCATGGCCTTTAATCAAAGCTAAGAGATTAGCTCTACACACTGGCATCAAAGATCTCATCAACCCTAAACATCTGAGAAAGATGAACATTTAGAAATATGTTTCAGAAACAAGAACTACTGAATTTTAAAAAATGTGTGCAGTAAGTATGACTGTGACAAGCTCATAAAAGCAGGAGTAGCTGCTTAGTTCAAACCCTGGAAGTGTGCAGTGGAGCTGAGTATGTGCACTTTTGTGACTTTGAACAGCAAAGTTGTGGTGCTAGGCATCCTCTATGAAGGCAGTTCTTTAAAGGCTCCCTAACTGGTACAAAATCTAAATAAAATATATGGTTTGTAGGATGGAAATTTGAGTAGGTAAAATCAACATGTTCCAATGAAAAAAGTTTCTAATATTAAAAAGCAAACAAACAAACAAACAAACTTAAAGGGATAGATTTTTGATTTGCTTTCTATATTAATCATGACTTTTACATAAAAAGTAGTGAAAGACATATGGAAATATATTATTATTTTAAATATACAACTAAAATTATTGCTGTGTACAGAAAGTGTACCAAGTATTCAGACTAAAAGTCCTTTAAGCACCTTTGAAGCAAAAAAGTATAAAAAAGAAGATATGTGTGATCATTTCTTTCTCCGTTTTCTCCTCAGATGTTTGGTTCTTTTACAGACATAACTCATAAATTGTTTACCAAGAACTTTAATAGAAATTACAGGTCTACTGTATTGAACACACTAAGAACAGAAATGTTGATGATGGCCCAAAATCGTTCAACACTCTGCTTTGATTGTGAGATCCAAACTGAAGCTCAAACCAACTTCTAGAACTGAAACTCTGGGCAGAAGAACTCCGTTATAAACTTTTTTGTCTTAGTCAGATCTGTGGATCACTATCCAGACCACAACTGGGATCTAAATTGATACAAAGCAAAATTATTTTTTTATGTTGTGCTGTATGCAAGTCTATGCTGTCTTGTTTTTTTCCCACATTTATTTTCAAGCACCAGCCACAGCTAATAAAAAAGCATAATTTTGTTTTAAGTTTTTTTGCTTTCCAGTCAAAATGGACTCAGGAATGACTCCAGCTGACTGGAACCCACTGAGTCTCTGTCTCCATTTTCTTTAGGGCTTGCTCCAGTTCACTGAAGGCTGTAGCGAGGTCATCATTGACTATAACCATTTCAAACAGATGGCCATAATGGCTCTCCATCATCTGGGCAGTGTCCACCATCTTCTGAAAGTCCTCCTCCTGTAGTGTATGGAAGAAAATAAGAAGAGGGAGAAAATAAAATAAAAATACTTTAATCTGTGAAGAGCTTGTTATAAATAATGGTAGCCACACATGAACCCTGCTGAAGGTTATGACTAAAACCTCAAGGAATGTTTATTTCCTTCAGCGAATATCCAGTTCACCAGAAAAGCAAAACATTTTAAAAATACAAAAAAAAAGTTTTTAAATTCATCTCAATCTTGAAGATGCGAGGATGATAATCTATCCATCCATCTTCTACTACATTTTCGTAGTCAGGTGGCAGAAGAAACAGGTCCAGGAGAGAAACCCAGACATCTCTCTCCCCAGTAGGGCTGAGTACCGAACTTTGGTTCTTTTATGGTACCGACCAAACTGCTTCAGTTGGTGTAAGGATCAAAATATGCCTCTTCTTTCGATGTCAAGTTTTGGCAATTGGCTGTAACGTTACACGTGGTTTCAACCACATGTAAAGTTACAGCCAATGCCAGTGCTGCAATGCAGGAAAAAACAGATGTGGTTACGCCCGCAGATGGGGTTCATGCGGTTTCTAAGGCAAGCCTTAATATGCAACACCTGACCAAGCATGGAATTCAAGAGCGTAAAGTTGCTCCGTGTTTGACTGAAGGAGAGAAGACCACAGCCTCCTCCTCTCAGCATTTAAGTCAGCCTGTGTGTGTTAGAGCCTGAACAGCCTGATTCAAAATCTCCACGACCGGACTCTGCTTCGCACCAAGAACGGCTCTGTGTCTGGGATTTCAGCTGGTAAGTTTACGTTTGTTAAAATTACTGCAGCTTAATACAAAGTACGCACACCGCGGCGAGTTAAACTAGGATCCATGTAATACTAACTTTAAGATGTTAGTGTGTAGCTTTATTTTATGGCTATCTATGTAGCTAGCTAAAATCAAAAGCTAACTAAAGATTGACAGTATCAGATGAAGCTTAGCTTGTAAAAATGTGCTCATCCATTGGGTCAGCTGCTTAAATAGTTCAACTAATGTTCATTGTTCATGTTCTCCTCACAGGAGCCTCTGACCCTGATGTGAGGAGGACAAAAGGACAAAAGAAAAGTGAGATGGGAGCCACAGGACAGTCAAACTTTGTAGTGAAAAGTTTGCTGCCTTTTTCTACAGTGGAGGCTGCTACGACTAGCCATATTAGATAAAAGACAGACATACAGACCCGCACCTGTTACCGAAAGAGCAGCGCACGAGACCGTATGACACGCGTGCGCGACCGAATGAGCCGCAAGCGTGCACGTATGATCTGCGCGGGTGACTGAATGAGCAGCGCGCAAGAGTGAAAGAGATTTAATGAAAAAACTCTCTAAATCTGTTTTCAAACTGTTTCTTTGTTTTTTCTTATCCTGCTTCAGTTTCAAATGCAAAAATAATCTCAAATGGAAATTTCAAGTCAAAGACAAGACTTTCTTGTTGATTTTATTACACTAAATAATTAATAATTACCTTCAAGTTAAGAAGTTCTTCAGACTTTAAGCATGTTCTAGTGTTATAAATAACACTAATAAGTCTAATAAGAAAATAAGTCTTTGTTGTTTTTATTAGTTTTATTAAAAACAAACTTCAAAACATCCTTAAAAGGCTACTGAAATACTGTAGTAAAAGTAATTGAAATAAGATGTTGATTATAAGATATCTTGACCTCCGAACATGAAGATGTTGAGATGATTAAAATAAGATTAAAATAAGTATCCATGATGCTGATCTCATGCTGCTGATCTATTTCATGTTGCTGTGTTAATTTGTCCTCATCTGCTCACACAGACTCATGTTCGTGCTGCTGTTGTTTGGTGTATTGTTTTGTATTATTAGTGCTTAGTATATTCTTAGTTTAACATATTTCTTAGTTTATAAGTATCTTAGATATTACTACTGTTTTTCTTTACAATTTGTATTTTTGTTGGATGTAACTAGGACCCTGTGTACGTAGTTTTGTTCCACCTCATGTACCACATGTGATGTGCATGACAATAAAGAACCTTGACCTTGATCTAAAAAAGTAATTAACTGATCAGAACATTTAGTATTTAATAATTTATTTTATATAGACAAAAATATAAAAGTATCTCATTCTTCCTAATGGGCAAAGTGGATACTACCTCCAGGTGAGTAAATGTTGTAAATTACAATCTATGAACTGATGTGACAGGTATTATTAAACCATTAAAACAAACCCTAAGACATATTTTATATATTTTTTCAAGTTAACAGTGACGTACATGGAGCTGCAAGCTGGTTATCTGAACACCAACAGAACACCTGAATTGATAGATGAGTTTGTTGCAAAGAAGATTCAGCTCTGCCACAAATACCTTGGATCTTTTTAAAATGCAGATAAATATTCTGTGTACTACATACACAACACATGACGAGCATGAAGCTAGGGAGAAAATACGTCTTTGTTGTTTTTATTAGTTCTATTAAAAACATCAAACTTTAAAACATATTATCCCCTTCAGACATTATAACACCATCCATCCATCCATCCATCCATCCATCCATCCATCAAACACACAACATTTTGAGCAGGGAGGCCCAGACATCTCTTTCCAGAGCCACCTCTTCCAGCTCTTCTGGGAGGACTCCAAGGCATTCCCAGGTCAACTGAGAGACGTAGTCTCCAGTGTCTCTTCTACGGTGGTTTATTGCAGTCCAGCAGCCATAAAGCCAGATGCAGGTTTTCCTCCGTCGGCCGTTTGTCAACAAAGTGAAATTAGCACACATACAGAGTTTTGGGTGGGTCAAATTCACATTTTAAGCCACATTCTTAATTCCTCATCTCTACGTAGGCTATGGAAACGATACCGCTTTTCACAGGAACACTTTTTTTGGTTTTGGTCCGTGTTCAAAAACTCTGTTGTTGTAGCCACTGATTTACTGTATTTTCTGCTGTAAATATCACTCCACCCTATAAGTCGCATCAGTCCAAATATGTCTAACAAAGTGGAAAAATCCATAAATAAGTCTCTTCGCCGTATACGTCACATCTATTATGCATTACCGCTGATGCGTCGCGTTTGTTACGTGTCACAGCTGACAACCCGGAAATGTGGGCTGGTGCCAAAAATCGATTGGCTGCCAAAACTGCGGCCACTGGAGTGCGCACGGGAGGACTTTAACACCCATCCCCTGACATACAACTAAGAAAACTTTGATTTTAATAATTTTACAGAATGTCTAGGCAGTGGAGAAGAAAGTCTGACAGAGATGAGCCTGCAATTGTTTTAAAAAAATGCTTGGATGAAAATGAATCCTGCCAAGACGATGACAATATATCATATTATATATGGTATTCCAAGTGTAGTGAAGACTGTACTGCCTGTAGCTGCAACACCCAAAAACATTCCAGCTGGTTTCCAGTCCACAGGTATTTGGCTGGCAGCACAGTGGTGAAGTTGGTAGAGATGTTGCCTCTCAGCGAGCAGGTCGCTGGTTCAAATCCCAGCCCGGGACCTTTCTGGGTAGAGTTTGATATACTGATACACCAGTGAAGCAAGCATTGATGGAGAAAAAACAGAAGAGGAAGCAAAAATGTAAGAAATAGTATCAGGAAAGAATAAAGGCAAGCAAAGAAAAAGGATAAAGCCTGCCAAGAAAATGTTGAAAGCCATTACTGAGGATTCTGAAACCTCACAATGAAAACTGTTGTGTTGTCTGTATGGAGCCATTTGGCAACTCGAAGCCAAAGGAAGTGTGGGTAAAATGTGCACTATGCAGTCTTTGGACCCACCAAACCTGCATTCCAGGGTTACCTATATCCATTTGTCAACATTGAGACTCTGATTAAGAATATAGGCCTGCACACACACACGCACACGTGCACACATGCGCGCACGTAGACGTTGTTTTTATTTGACCTAATGTTCTTTACAAAGGTACAGTAGTGTTCATTAAGCATACATATTGTTTAGGAAGTTTGTTCAAGTAGTCCTACACGAATTTAAACATGCACTCCTGTTACAACTTACCCCAGCATGTGTTACAACCTACCCCGGTAATGGGGTAGGTTGTAACAAAGGAAAACTGTGTATTTGACATAAACTCATGCAGTTTGTGATAATCTTGCAGAGGTTTGAATTGTTGCCATTTGTAGAAGACAAATATGTATACTTTGTGTAAAAGTTTGCGCACTCTACCTCAAAAATTCAATGAGTTAAAAGTTCTGAAGCAAAAAGTGTTACAACCATACCTGGTCTCCCCTAATACTTTCAGGGTTTTTTAAATAAAGAAAACAGAAATTTGACAACAAAAAAAGTGTTGCTTCTACCTGAAGCTGTTATTATGGAATTATGTTATTTATTTGTATTCATGTTTTTTTTTTCAGTCCAATACCAGAATTTGTACATAACTTTATATTTTTTTCTGTATAAAATAAATATTTAAATACTAAATGTTCTGATCAGTTAATTACTACTTAAAAGCCTTTTAAGGAGGAGCTTATTTATAACACTAGAACACGCTTAAAGTCTGAAGAACTTTTTAACATGAAGGTAATTACTAATTACTTAATAATTATTTAGTGTAATAAAATCAATAAGAAAGTCTTGTATTTAACTTAAAATTTCCGTTTGGGATTATTTTTGCATTTGAAACTGAAGCAGGATACGAAAAAGCCAAAGAAACAGTGGATCATAATGTTTTCACATCATTTTGAGTGTTTTTTCCTTAAATCTCTTTCACTCTCGTGTGCTGCTCATTCAGTCGCACGTGCAGGTCTGTACGTCTGTCTTTTGTCCAGTGTGGCTAGTCATACGCCCCTTTTCCACTGTCACGGCGCGGGTCGAATATGTCCGGCTTGACCCTTGTTTAAGGTCTTTTCCATAGTTCTTGGGACCGGCTGACCTCCCAGAATTCTGGCCCGGCTTCTCAAGGGGTCCAAGCGAGTCGAGCCATGACATCAGAAACACTGTCAGTCACTGATTGGTCGGGGGGAGGAATCTGTGGAGGCTTTCCAAACAACCCGATCCGCCATTTTTC